TGTTGTTTGTAAAACCATTTGTATGTATTTGTGTCTTGGGGATGAAGACCTCACTATAGATAACAGTACCTGAGGTGATTCTTGTGAGCAGAGGTTCCCAAGGGTTTCAGTGAAGCATCAGGCATTATGTTTTCAATTCCATTTTCTTCTTTCTCTTGCTCCATTTTTATCTGTTACCATTTCATTTCATGGTGAACAGTAGTTACCTCAGAATTCTTTTGTACCAGTCTGGATAGTTGTACAATGTCTTTGGTGCACAGCATTATTATTGCAGGCTTTAAAGATTAGTTCAGGTTTGTAACTTCCATATTTTAACTGAGCCCTGCATAATAGTTTCATTCATGAAACTTCAGGCAATTAAGTCTGTTGGATTAAAAGATCTGGAAATAACAGGGTTGGTCTCACCATGCTCAACACCAGGTTGTGGTTGTTATCTTTGTTTTGTTTGGAGCAATGTAAGAGGTGATTCTTAACTTGTAAGTAATTGCTGGGCATTCAGAAGGATACTTTTAACAGGAGAGGCAGCTGTCAGGATTCTTGCAGTATTTACTTTTTTTTTCCAGCACGGGAGTGACAAGGAACAGCATTTACAGTTCTCTGGTGCTGTTCTGTGCATTTGCAATATGCTTAATTTAGGGTATCTAGGGAAGCTTGATAAAGAAGCTCATGGTACTGTGGCAACCATGTGAAGAAATTAATTGTAGTTTACATCTGGTGAAATGGGTTAATCTGAGCATGAATTGGGATATTTGTGCTTCATGCAGATAACACAAAATTTGTGTTGTTCTTCTGGATAATCCTGAGACTATTCATAGTTGCATAGACTTAATCATAGAATCACAGAGTTTTAGGGGTTGTAATGGACCTTACAGATCATCCAGTCCCAACCCTCTGCCATGGGGTGGGACACCTCCCACTAGATCAGGTTGCTCAAGGCCTCATCCAGCCTGGCCTTGAACACTGCCAGGGTTGGGGCAGCCACAGCCTCCCTGGGCAACCTGTGCCAGTGTCTCACCACCCTCACAGGAAAAAACTTCTTCCTAATATATAACCTAAATTTCACTTCCTTCAATTTGTACACATTGCACCTTGTCCCGTCACTGCAGCTCCTAACAGAGTGTCCCTCTGTGGCTCCACTGTAGCCCCTTCAGATACTGGAAGGTTGCTCTGAGGTTTCCGCACAACCGTCTCTTCTCCAGGCCGAACAGCCCCAACTTCCTCAGCTTTTCTTCATAGGGGTGATGCTCCAGTCCTCTTATCAGCTTCATGGCCTCCTGTGGACTTGCTCCAGCAGTTCCATGTCCTTATGTGGAGGGCACCAGAACTACACAGAGTGTTCCTGGTGGGGTCTCATGAGACCAGAGTAGAGGGGGAAAATCACTTCCTTTGACCTGCTGCCCACACTCCTTTTGGTGCAGCCCAGGATTTGGTTGGTTTCTGGGCAGTGAGCACATGCTGACGGGTCGTGTTGAGTTTCTCATCAACCCTCATGCCCAAGTCTCTCTCCTCAGTGCTGCTCTTAATTACTAACTCGCTCACCCTGTAGGTGTGCTTGGGATTACTGTGACCCAGATGTAGGACCTTGTTAGACTTTGAGTTGGTGAACCTCATGAAGTTAACTTGACACATTTAAAGTTAATTGCCTGTGACATTATGTTGGTGTTTGGTTGATTGTTTTACATCATGCCAACAATGCCTGAGTAGACAAAAGCCATTTCACTTGAAATTTCTAAAACCTGGGTATTGTTTCATGCAGATGTGATGTTCACCTTTTATTAATGGTCTCAGTCATGGAGAAGATCTGTTTGATGTGTGTGTTCTGAATGTCTGACTAGTCTGATTATTATGTACACACACTTCTGGAAGTATTTTCACTGCTCCCTTGTGCACAATAAAGCCTTGGTGATTTTCTCAAATGAAGTGTTTTGGTTATGTGTAGAGTGATAAAGGTGGCAAAAGAGAAAACCAGATAGAATCATAGAATAATCAAGATCAGAAGAGACATTTAAGATCGTCAAGTCCAACCATTAACCTGGCACTCCACTGTAACCCCTAAACTATGTATTCCAGTGCCAGATCCAGATGCCTGTTAAACACTTCTTGGGATAGTGAAGACTGAGGCAAAATAGTCGTTGAGTACCTCAACCTTCTACACGTCCTGGGTAACCAGCTCTCCTGTATCCTACTGGAAGACTTATGAAGTCAATACCTAACTTCCTGCAAATCAATAAATTTTAGTTTCAGTTATCCATCAGGGTGGATTAGGTTCTGCAGAAAGATTAATTGCTGTATGAGTCTGTAACAAAAGTCGATGACCTGGTGGTGATATTTTGGATTGTCCCCTTGCTGCAATCTGCACCTGCTAGGCATGCACAGTCATGGGGCAGGTCCACAACTGACTGAACCAAATGTAAGATTGTTCCT